CTGGAAATGTGAAACTGAAAATAAATGTGGAGCAGCTTCTGGATACGTGTGGAAGGCATTCCAGCCACTGCTGACAGCAGCCTTTAATATTTGGGGGTATGGGCTTTGCTCTGGAGCTGAACCCATAAACTGGAGCTCACTGATTTCAGCCCTTCCTTCCAGAGGAGACAGCTCCTTGTCTTATACAGTCTGGGACTCGGGGAGTTTGGAATAGCTGAACTGATGGAAAATGTTATTTTGCTTTCCTTGATGCTATGAAAGAGAAGAGGCAGGATTCCTGGTTGGGTAATTTGTTTGTTTGGGTTTTTTCCCCCTGATCTCTATTAAGGGATGTGCCAAACAGAAAAAGAGGTACCTAGCCCAGCAAAAATGAAATATCTTTTAAAAAAATAATAAAAAAGCTTTTTTTCCCCTGTCAAAGACTGTTAAATATCAACAACAACAAAAACATATTCCACACAGATTCATTCTGGTTGAAAAAAACATGTTCTTTAAATGTCAGCCAGCTCCAGTTTTAACCTTATTGTTTCTCTCTCCCCCTAAGTTCCCAAGCCGTCCCCTGCTGGCACTGAGTCATGTTCTGTTGCTGAGCTCTCCTAGACAGCTCCAGTCACTCTTTCTGGCCCTTCTTTTCCACGCTCTGAAGTTCAGTAACGCACCTCCAAAATTTCGGGTGTCAGCTGAAAACCAGAACCTTTCAAAGCTGCCTCCCCTGCTCTGCAGCAAATCAATGATTACCATGGCCTGGTTATTGGCAGGTGTGTGGGCTGCCTTCCTCACGGGTAGGGATGACACAAAGCAGCATTCAGCATTCCCAGCTCCCCTTCCTGAGCTCTGCTGCAGCTTCCCGAGCCTCTGAACAGGCTGTTCCTCCATCCTCCCGAGGAGCAACCAGACATTTGTGTCCTGCTCTTCCTCCCTTTTGGCTGGAGCCCCTTTTAGGCATCTCCATAGCTCCCTGTTCCTCAGCTGCCTGCGTGCCAGCCTCTCCCGAGGGGATGGAAGAGCTCCCCCGGTCCCTTGCTCTGTGCCCAGCATCCCTGCTGCTGCTGCTGGAGCTGCTTGCTCGGTGCTTTCCTTCCCCCAGACTCAGTGTGCACCTCCTGCCTGGCCCCGCTGCTCCCTCTGCTCTCCCAGCCCGGGCTGCAGTTTGCAGCTCCACGCTGGAGCCTGATGTGGGAGCAGCTCTGCAGAATTATTCTGGTTATTCTGTCCCGGCAGTCCCGGCCTTGCCTCGCTCGGGGTTTGGTTCTCTCCCTGCAGCCTGTGGGATGGAATGAGAAGTCTGCCCCCAGGCTTTTGCAGCTCGCTGCTGGTTCTCAGGGAGCCAAAGGGCACCGGATGATAAATGGAGTGAATTGGACACCCTGAGAGGCTGCAGTGGTCAAAAGCCCATTTTCTGCAGATTGAACCCAGCGCTGTGGCTGCCCAGGGTCTGGATGTGCTGGCAGCTCCAGTGCAGCCCCTGTGGAACTGGGGCCATGCCAGCCCCCCTGGGATTATCAGCTCCTCCAGCAGCTCGGCTCATTGAGCAAACCCAGCTCTTCCATGCTAAATGCACTCCAAGCAGGGCTGGGTTTTTCTTTTTGCCCGCAGCATCTGAGCATTTCCATTTTTCCTGATGTTGTGGGTAGCCCATTTTCAAAGGCCACCCTTTGAAGCTTTGCTTTCCCCCAGGTGAGATCCAGAACAGCCCTGCTGAATTTTGCCCTGGGGGCTCTCCTGTCCCCCCGTGCCACCCCCCAGCCCTCAGCCCTGTCCTGCAATGTCCCTGTGGCTGGACTGGGACAGTGGCACTGTGCCCAGCCCTTCTGCAGCTCCGAACAATGAGCTGCTCTCCTTCCCCGCTGCTGCCAAAGGAGCAGCATTCAGGAGCTGTCAGCAGCTGCCTCTGCCTTTTCTTGCCAGGGTGGGCAAGTGGGAGGTGTTGTCCTCCCCCCAGCAGCAGCTCCTTCTCCTTCTCCTCCGTGCTGCAAACTGCACAGCACAGGGGCTCCTCCAGCATCATCTGAATTACAAAGTCATTCTATTGTCAAGCCTTTTAAGTGTCACATTCTCTTTTAAAACCAAGGCTGTGACATTCACTGAAGAACAGCATCGCTTCAAAGTCAGGAATGTCTATTCTTAGCACATCAGTCAAAAAAGGGGGGGAAAAAAGAGTCGTTGGGGAAGGAAAAAAACACAACAATTTTACCAGAATGAACCTTGTCACAAATGATCAATTCATCTCCCATTCACACTGGCCTGCTCCTTGCTGCACGCCAGAGGACAGAATTTGATGCCACGGAGCAATGAATTAAGATTTGCCAGATCTCCTGGTAATTAATTGTCTCACAGTACAGGTTTGGCAAAGAATAATTTATCTTTAAAGCAATTAGATCACTGGTAGTTGGGGTTTGTGTTTTACTGGGTTTTTTTCTTTTTAAGGAACATTTCTCCTCAGTTAGTTGAAGAATAGATGCTGATGAGTAACAGCCACCTCCTGGTATTTTATTCACGTTACTTAAATACCTCTTCCTGCTAGACCAGAGCCCCCTCACAGCTGAGAGGCAGAGCTGGGACTGAGCACAGCAGAGCAGAGGGGCTGGGCTGCGTTCTGGATTTTGGAGTGCAGCCCCTCAGGAGCCACACACACCCTCACACCCATCCTTCCAGCCCAGCAATGCCAATGCAGCCTGGTGCTGTACAGCACTTCTGCCTTTGCTGCTGGGCATGGGAAATCTCACTCTGGGTTCACATAAAAACATTTATAAGGTCTGTAGCCTTGTTTTGAAATCTACCTGTACACCATGAAAGTTATGATTCCCAAACTAAACAGAACTTTCAAAGCATTTATCCTAATGCAGGAAACTGCTCTTCAGTCCAAAGAGAAGTTCCTGGAGTGCTAAAGGAAGGCATTGTGCTGATTCCCAGCTCTCTCCTAAATTCTTTTATTAGGAGCTTCTGCTGGTGGGCTCTTCATATTCAATGGCTGAGAGAGCAAAGAGATTTTTCCAAGCTTCTTGAAGAAGCCAAGCAAATGAGATGGGGGCAGAGCTGTAACTGTTTCTGGGATGGGACTCAGTGCAGGGTGGGATGATGCTAGAACAAGTGTGGTATCAAAGCAGATCCTCAATGTCCCTCTGCACACCCTGGCCAGCTCCAGGGGGACTGTCATTAATGTGCTTCTCTCTCCTCCCTGCTTTTTAGTATTCATGCAGTGCTGATCATGTGAAAATTACTCACACTTCTGACTTAAGAAAAGTTTCTGTACTGAGAAATTCCACCAATATCAAGGGAATTAGAAATTCAAATGGGGGGAAATTATACACTGTGTGTGTCAATACAGCAAACCTTTATAAAAGCTGCACTCCATCATACTGGCACCAAAGGTGGTGGCACTTCTCCCTGTTACCAAGTGACAGAACTGATCCCCCTGAATCCCTCTGCCAGCTGCCACGGAGCAGAGCATGGCACAGAGTGGCCTTTGCCATTCCTGTGTCCTTTTACCTTCACCTGTACCCTTCTTTTGTCTCTGCTGAGTTGTGTGTGAGCACATCAAGAGCCGTCCCTCCAAAGCACCTCCCTAGTCTCACATGTGCCCTGTCAAACCTCAGGCAGGGTTTGTACAGCCCAGCAGTGCCTTGCAGAGCTGCAGCTGATTCCTGCACAATTCTGCCTCTCTGCTACTCCCCTTTGGTGTTTTGACTGCCAAATTTTGTGGTTTTGTAGGTCTTGTATCTGAGCTCTCTGCTGTCAGCTCCCTGAGATGCAAGAAGTAGGCACGGCCCAGATGCTTGCCTGAAGCAGAAATAACACTTTTTTCTACTACTGTTCTCCATCAGGTCCCCTGAGTCTTGAATTTCTGGCAGACAGAATTCCACGGGGAGAAAAAGAACCTCAGGCCTTTGGTTTGCAGTTGTTGTAGAAACCTGATTCTGGCTGTGGTGTAATTTAGCAGATTGAAATAGAGATCGAGCAAATCTGTTACACTCTCTTAGTGACTCAGTGAGCTTCCACTGGCAAAACCCGTTCAGAATTTGGAATATTCAGTAATCCCTTCACATTTCCAGGGGTTTTTGTGTATTCCCAGTGTTCCAGTCCCACTTTGAGGGGTATGTGAGCTGGTAAGTGCATGTTGCTGGACGATGTGTTTGAAAGTACAGAGAGACAGGAGCGAGGCAGGCAGGAGGACAAAGAGCTCCTGGGGATGATTTCAGGGTTTCTGTGCACACAGCTCTCTATCTGCTCCAGACAAGAACGAGGGAAAGGTGAGTAATAACAGCCCTGTTGCTCCTGATCTGAAAATACTCCGGCCCAGAGCGTGCAGGAGGGAGGGCTGAGCTGGTGCACTTTCATGGGGGCACATTCTGCTTCCAAGGTAGGACGTAGAAATTATCCTGGTTGGACTTTGGGTCAACCAGAGCTCAAATCTGGTGGGATCATGCGAGTTTATCGTCCTTGTGCTAGAGATGTGGCTAGCTAAGTTATCATCTGGGTGTAGTTTGTGACATATAACAGGAGAATTCTGTACAAAAGTCCATCCAGCTGTGTGTGAGGTTTCCACATTAACCTGGTGTGAAATGGCTCAGAGCTGGATGCCACTGGAACATTAAAAGACGTGTGGGGGGTGAAATTTGGCAGCAGCGGTGTTTCAGACCACAAGTCCTGGAGAAAAGCCAAGCAGGAATCACTGTGCCATATTTTGTTCCACTTTGGGGTGTGTGTGTTGTTTTGGGGGCCCTGACAGCTCAGTCCCTCCCTTGTTCTGATGCAAACAGTGGGTTTCCATCAGTGCCAGCTGCAGGGGGTGAGTTTGGGCACCTCCTTTGTGCTGTCTGTGCTGCCTTTGGGGCTGGGGGGTTTGTCTGTCCCGTGTCCCTTCCCCAGAGCCCCGGGGCGTCGGCAGCTTTTGGCCATGGTGAGGGGCTGGTTCTGGGGGTTTATCCGAGCGTGCAGGGGCTGGCAGGGTGGGAGGTGGCCCCGAGGGCCAGCAGGCACGGGCAGGAGGGGTCACTCACCTTCTGCGCCCGGCGCTTGTCGGCGCGCTGGTTCTGGTGGTAGATGCGGCTGAAGTTGGAGACGATGACGGGCACGGGCAGGGCGATGACCAGCACCCCGCTGAGCGAGCAGATGGAGCCAAAGATCTTCCCCGCGATGGTCTTGGGCACCATGTCCCCGTAGCTGCGGGCACAAACACAGAGGGGGCCCCTCCTTCAGAGCCCGAGCCCCGGCGGGCCCTGGGCACCTCCCTTCTGCCCAGGACAGGAGACGCAAAAGGAGATTCTGCTCCAGCCTGTAAGCGTCTGCTTTTAGGACAATGGGGACAGAATAATATCATTATGTGCTGCACAATAGCCCATGATTCTGAAAGCCTTTTGCCTGAAAGAGCTGGAATACAGCATGGAATTAGCATGTGGCTCCCCAGGTGCAGGAGACCCCTCTTGGTACTGCCAGGAGCTCGCTGGCAGTGTTGGGCTCACACAGGAGAGGAACCAGCCAGGATTCACTGGAAGGTTTCAGAGGCATCGCCAGCCTGTGGATATTGCACCTGACAGCTCTGCCCCCGTTCCATAGGTGCCAGCCCGAGCTCATCTGGCTCACGTTGCTCTGAGCCCCCCGTGAAATAATGACTGTGTCACTTCCAATGATCCAAGGGAACAGGAGCAAGCCTTGCTCATTGCTCTCCATGGAATTAACAGCTGTGGCAGGGGCTGGGTGCTTGGAGCTTGGCTTTAGGGTTTAATTCAGCATCCCTCATCCCCCTGCTGGAAGGAGCCCCCAGAGCTCCCCTGTGCTTTGGGCTGGAAGGGGCCTTTAAAGGCCATTTTCTGCCTGCAGCGAGCAGGGGCATTTCCCACCGCCTCGGGCTGCTCAGAGCCCCGTCCTGCCCTCCTGGGATGTCTCCAGGGGTGTCCAGCGGGTTCCAGAGAACCCCAGAAGCACAGGCTGCACCTTGGGGCCCGTGCCTCCTGCAGGGCTGGGCTGCACAGAGCCAGAGGGTTTGAAGCAGCAGAATCTGCAAACAGGCTGTCAAATCCAGCCCTGAGCAGTAAATCAGCCGTGGCCGGGGAAGTACAGAGCCTATTTCATGCTAGGATTCTTTTACATTAAATATACTTATTTTCTGCCTTGTTTGGAGCTGGGCAGTTCCCCAGCTGGGTATTCAACTGCGAGATCTGGCATGGTTTCACACTACTGTTTTCTTTTTCCCTGGCATAATTCATTTGCTGATGTTTTCATGGATGCTCTAGAAATTCTCTGCAATTCCAGCCCTCAGCCAAGCTGTGAGGGATGAGGGCTGGAGATGCTATCAGCTCTAGCAGCAGCTTATCTTCAGCACTTGGATTTGCTTTGATTTTTAGCAAAGCTGTGGTCAGCAGTTGCTTAGTAGGGATTTTCCAGTAAAGTTGCCTTTTTGGTATTGTTCTGGTTTATAAATTCGTATTTCTTACTGAGTTTTGCGTGATAAAAGGGCAGAGACGTGTTCAAAATTGTCCTTCTCCGAGGAGAAGCAAGATCTGTTGCTTCTGTAATGGAAGAGGGGAAGGTTATTCCCTGAAGGATTTCCCAGGGCAGCCTGCAGCAGCCCTCAGCAGAGCCCAGTGGAGGCACAGCTGAGCTGGACCAGCTGTGGGCTGCTCATTGCTCCAGCTGTGCGCAGAGGTGACCTGTGTGCAGCCACATTCTCCTCTCTCAGGAATTTTCACAGAGCAGCACAGAGGGAAGAAAGAGAAAACAATTTCTATTCCTGCTCATCCTTTTTCCGTGTGGAATGTGTTTGGAGAATTGTTCACCAGGGGTGATGCTTGGTTGGATTCTGGTGAGGATTGTTTGAGCTGGTGGCCAATCCAACCCGCCTGGGGCTGGGCTCTCAGAGAGGGCCAGGAGTTGTGAGTCAGATATGGAATTAGAAAAAATAGGTTTGTAGTTTTAGTATCTCCTTTAAATAGAATATTAATGTATTATAGTATAGTTATAATAAAGAAATCATTCAGCCCTCTGAGCTGGAGTCAGCCACCAGCATTTCTGCCCATGGGATTCACCTGCATTTCCAATAGCCCTGAGAGCAGCTGGTGGCAGGAAAATTCCTCCCAACAGCAGCAGGCCCGGCCCAGGGAAACGGGAATGTTGTGAGGAGTCAGGAATAAGTAAGTAAAAAAATAAGTAGGTAATTTAATACACAAAGGGTGGAGAATGCTTCAGGTATCAGCAGGCTGGTTCCATGTATCCCTCCTGGCTTGGCTCAGCCTCTCAGCCCGTAGGCAGCTAAAACAGATGGTCTGAGTTCGGGTAACAGTCAGACCTCCAGTTGAAGCTAAAAATGGGATTCCATTGGCAAGAAAAGTAGGTCAGAAAGCGAAAGCCCCTCGTCCTAAATGATGAAAGGCTCCCATGGAGCGTTCCCTGTGCCAGGCCCTGAGCAGGGGACAGGGGCACAGGGAGATCTGCTCCCTGCAAGGACCTGCCTCAGCCCTGGGATGGGAAAGGGAATGCCCAGCTGTGCTCCAACAGCTGGCACAGAAACTGGGGGTACTTCAGTGCAGAGCCAGGCCTGGGGTTTGTTTATGGCTTTTCTTGGTCTGTGGGGGGCTGATTTGGGGTTTATTTCTGTTTTCCCCAGTCTGTGAGGGGCTGGTTTGGGTTTGTTTTATCGTCCATCTGATCCAGGCATCTGGCAGAGAGCAGCTGAGTGCTGCTCAGTAATGTCCACTTTTTAAAAAGTGTTTGTTTTAATGGAAAATAAAATGTCTCAGATTAAGGCATTATTTATTTCTGGCTGCACACACTAAAGGCCTTTTAAATTACTTCATTCATTATTAATTCAAAAAGAATCCTCATATTACTCAGAGTGAAAACCTTACACAATTACCTGCTCAGAGAATCCAATTTTTTTTGCATCTTGACTCTCTGTAAAAGGAATTTTTTTGGAGAGCGTGCAGGCTGGAGAGGGCAGGCAGTGCATTGAGCAATTAGACTTTTCTCCTAATAGCAGGGCTGAAGGCTCCCTGCCCTGTCTTAAATCCTTAACTGTGGTGTCAGCTTAAAGGAAATGCTGGGTTTTTGCTTTCATTTCATCCTCATCTTTTTCTTTTCTGTCTTTTTAAGCAGCTTGAGTGTCCATGCTGAGCCATGTCACATTCCAAATGATCCACATACTGTGCATTTTAATGAGCTGCTAACACTGATTATACAAAAAGCAATCTCAGAAATATTTACTGAGTCAAAAAAAAAAAAAAAAGCCTATGGGGAACTAATTAGCTTTTTAAGAATTGGCTTTTTGAAAGCCTCAGACTCTGGAAAAGTTGAACTTGGAACCAGTTTCAAAGAAGTTGGAGGAGTGATGGAAGAAAAGGGAGGGAGTTGTAATGGAGTATTTGTGACAGAGCATTCCACAGCCCAGGCTCTCTGCACAGGCCAGGAGATGCACTGGAGGCTGAACAGATAATAAATAACACAGAGAGAGAAGCAATGCCATGATTATGCAGAGAAAAGCCACGTAATGCCTGGATCCTTTGTCAGGTTTCTGCAGCCCTTCTGAGGGCGGATCAGAGAGGGACAAAATCTTCGTCCCTCTGTCCCTGGGCAGCTCCCTCTGTCCCTGGGCAGGTCCCTCCGTCCCTGGGCAGGTCCCTCTGTCCCTGGGCAGGTCCCTCCAGCAGGATTGCTCCAGCCAGCGGTGCTGGACACTCTCTGCACGCCAGGCCCAAGGAAATTCAGTTCCCTTGGCACAGAGCTGATTAAAGTTCCCCTTTCCCGAGATGTAAAATGCAGTCCAAGGTCTCCACATCCCCTGAATATTGACTTCTGTCCCTTCCAGGGGAAAGTGATCCCAATAAAGTGACATTTGTCCTCAGATGGTAACAGAGAACAGGAACTGGGAATTCACTGGGGCCAGGCCTGCGCTGCCCAGAAAATCCCATTAATGAGGGGCCAAATGTCACTCCAGAAAGCCAAACAGGGGCTGCTCCTGCTGGGCTGGCTCTGTGTGCCCAGGACATCCTGGGACCAGGCTGGGTTCCACCTGGCCAGGGAACTTCATGATGCCTCCTTAATGGGCTTATTTACTATTAAGAAATTATTAATATTAATAAAACTATTACTAAATGATTAATACAACTGCTGCCTGCTTGAGGGCAGGTCAGAGCCGGTGCACAGGGCTGGGCTGTGCTGGCAGAGCCCCCTGCCATCCCTCCTGCCCTGCCTGCCCTGGCACACACGCCTGCTGAGCTGCACGCTGCTTCCTCAAGGCTTCCTCAGGCAGGAGGCTTCAGCTCTCCTTCCTCACAGCTCTGCCCTGTCTGCTTTCTTTTCTATGAATATAACTGGAATGTTTGGAAGCCCTGAAATCAATTTCCCCCCTCATTTCGTGGCTAGCAGAATACAAAAATAAATAATGAATCCCTGAGAAATGCAGGTGCTCTCTGCAAAGCCACTGCGTGCAGGGCAGCAGAGGTTGGCACAGCAGACAGTGAAAACAAATGGCTGCTTCTTATGCTCTCCACTCTTTCATCTTTTATCTCTTTTATCTTCTTTATTAAGGAAAGGTGAGCTTTAAGCACCACACTGCCAGAGGAAGTTTATCCTCAGAAGAGTGTGGCGGCCAAATCCGCAAATCTTTCTGTGCAGGGGAAGCCAAAAGCTCTGAATGAGCCCAGGATCTGATCCTGCTCCTGTGGGAGCAGCAGGGAGGAGGAGTAGAGCTCTGCCCCCTTCCCTTCCCTTCCCTTCCCTTCCCTTCCCTTCCCTTCCCTTCCCTTCCCTTCCCTTCCCTTCCCTTCCCTTCCCTTCCCTTCCCTTCCCTTCCCTTCCCTTCCCTTCCCTTCCCTTCCCTTCCCTTCCCTTCCCTTCCCTTCCCTTCCCTTCCCTTCCCTTCCCTTCCCTTCCCTTCCCTTCCCTTCCCTTCCCTTCCCTTCCCTTCCCTTCCCTTCCCTTCCCTTCCCTTCCCTTCCCTTCCCTTCCCTTCCCTTCCCTTCCCTTCCCTTCCCTTCCCTTCCCGAATGTTTTATTCTGTTCCAGGGTTTTTTCGAGGATGGACTAAAGGACCGTGCTCACCCCTGTCGGTTTTGCTGGAAATGTTTTGGGGTTTAGTAAGGAAACAAACAATTGGAACCACAAACTTTTTCAGTGAAAGTCACAAAAGCCAATCAAGAAGAGAGACTGGTTTGGGAACAGTTCCTTTT